CCATCTGCGGCTTCACCCCATCATTCTCCAAACACACAAGGCTCTCAAAACTATTCTAGCTAGTCTATGAACACTTTTCTCCACCTTTTTCTTTTGAAAAAATTTGAAACATACAGAAAAGTAGAAAGACTAGTACAATGTCTAGTACAATGAACACATATATGCTTCCACAATGACTGTTAACATTTTCCCACGTTTTATTTTCTCCATACAAATATATATTCATACACACGTGAGTTTTGTACAACTTTATATAATTTTTTGGCTGAACCATCTGAAGGTATGTTACAGGTGTTATAGTACTTCATCCCTAAATACCTAAATAGGACATTGTAAGTAACCTATGTAAACTTCACAGCTAATAAAATTAATAATTCAATATCATCTAATATCTAGTTCATATTCAAATTTCCTAAAGTGTCCTCAAAGTTTCTTTTATAGCTTTGTTTTTCCAAGACTCACCAAGCTTTACCCATTGCACTTCATTGATATGTCTTTTGTCTCAATCTAGAACAGTCTTCCACTATGACTAATAATATTGACTTGAAGAATTTAGGTCAGTTTTCTTATGGAATGTCCCACATTCTGGACCTGCCTGAGTTTTCCCTCAGGGTTATTTTACTTGTTCCTCTACCCCTGTAAACTGGAAGTTGGGTCAAAAGGCTTGATGGTATTCAGGTTAAGTATTTTGGGCAAGGCTTCTTCATAAGTGAAGTTGCATCAAATCAAGAGGCATTTAAAGTCAGGTTGTTCCACCATTAGTGGTGGTATGATCACTAGGTTAAGCTGGTGGCTTGAATTTCTTCATTATATGGTGTATATTCCCCTTTGTCATTACTAAGTACTCTGTGGGGTGATACTGACACTGTGTAAACATCTTCCTTTTCCCTATCTCCTTTTACAAGATGGGTTTTAGCTTCTATGGCTAACCTATGCCTAAATCACTGGGGACTGCACATGGTGATTTTTCCAATTCTATCGTTCCATTTACATTTATTGCCTGGCACTCTCTAGAAAGAAAAAAAAGCCCTCCCCCCACCTTTGATTTTGATTATCACTTTGAACTTATGGATTCTAAAAGTATATCAATGCTTTGATAATATATGGCATTCGTTATGCTTTTAAGACTCATTGATTCACATCTGGCTAATGGAGTCCCCTCAAGCTGGTCGGTGAACTTTTGACTTGATCCTATTAGTTTTGGGGCCCTTCCTGGCTTTCTGGCAAGATGTTCCAGGCTCACTTTTGTACTTTCTGGGCCTGAGACCTGAAATCAACCACTTCTTGGAGAAATGCTGTTTCTTTTGTGGGCAATGGTATCTAGACATCAAGATATTTGGGCACTCTCCACTGGGTAACATTACATCATATATGTCATTAGAGGGCTTCCCCCAAAAAACTCTTTTCTATTTTTCTTTCCTCTTAAGTGTTTTAACTAGCATAGATATATTATATACTTTATCTGTACCAGACATGAAAGTTTCAAAATTACATTATCAATAGTACTATTGGCAATACATCTGTGACGTGTTTGTTTTTGTTCTTTTTGCCCTCAGAATATACCCCACAAAGAATGTATGTACAAGTACTGCTAAACACCACCTTCATATAGGGCCTAAAGAACCGTGAATGGCCTGCCATTTCTGATCCCTGTAAAGCCTCTGATCACAGTCTTCTCCGAGCTGGAAGAATCCTTGCTGTCTGTTTCCAGTGGCAGTTTTCTGTTCGTTAGTGCTACACCTAAAACAGAGTAGCTGGGATGCACATCCTGAGACTGGCAAGGCAATGCAGACGTGTGTGAACAAAGCAGGGATGCTCTGACTGATGGGCACCTGCATAGGTCAGCACTCATTTAAGGTTGTTTTTCCATCAACCTCAAGTGAATGATGCCCTGTAAGTCATCCAAGGATATGTTTTCAAGGCACTGAACCCCCAAATACTCAGTAAGCACAAAAAGCCAGTAGCTTGCCCTGCAGCAAACCCCCATCCAAACATTCAAAATACCTATTATGATTGAGGGCAAAGAGCATAAGCAATGATGACTGTGTACACATCTCTAATTCATCTCCTCAGGCATTTGTTGAGGGAACAAAAAAATGTGGGCAAACCTGGGGCTACACTTAGTTGGAAGGAATACAACATGGACCAGCAGTCGCCAACCTTTCGGACCTCACAGACCACTAGTTGGCGACCACTGCTCCAAAGGTTTCCTTAAACCAGTGGTCGCCAACCTTTTGGACCTCACGGACCACCAGTGATCCGCGGACCACCAGCTGGCAACCACTGACGTGGACTATATTAGTTTATTGTGCCCTGCAGTGGACTGGCACATTTCCAAAGGCAACTGCTATGGTTTAATTTTAGTAGTTTAAGTGTTTTCGTTGAAAGATAGGTAAAAGTGAAATAGTATATTCTAATGACAACTTTGGAGTCTTTAAATTTTATTTACTACTGACTTTCACTAAAATAAATACTAGGTTTAAAGAACTAGAGATTTTAGATTGCTCTTTTTGAAGAATAAACATGACTAAATTTGAATGAGAATTTTTAAAAATATATTTGTATTGATTTCAGAGAGGGAGAGGGAGAGGGAGACAGAAATATAAACATAAATTATGAAAAAGAATCATTGATCAGCTGTCTCCTGCACACCCCACACTGGGGATTGAGCCTGCAACCCGGGCATGTGCCCTGGTCAGGAATCAAACTGCTTCGATCCTGTACCCTGACCAGAATCAAACCCTGACCTCCTGGATCATAAGTCGACACTCAACCACTGAGCCACGCTGGCGAGGTTGAAAGAGAATGTTTTAAAAATCAGACACTGAAAGTAGATTTTGATACTTCAAAGGAAGTGGGAAGACAGAACACCTATTTGAAGTAATACGCTTAAATCAGTTTATATTTGCTCCAGTTTTGTCTTTAATAGCACATAGAATCATGTCTTCAATAGCACATAGAATCATTGTGAAAATTAAATGAATACATGTAAAAATGGCACCGTGAATACAACTGTTACCATTTCTTTGTGAGGAACTAAACTTTAAGATAGCTTCCTCCCACCCCCAATATAACCTATGTTGCACAGAGGGAGAGACTAAAAGCAATCCTGAAAACAAAAACTATCCAGAAGAGAAATAAATCTATACTGGGGCTTATAATAAATATTTTCCTATTTTCTCATCTAGAAGATTTGTGAAGAGTTGTTACTTGAGAGATTTTTACACAACTGCAAAGTTTATTTTATATGCAAGGAGGAGCCTTCTGGCATTAATTTTAATAATACACAATTAGAATAAGAGCAGTTGTCAAAAACTACACTGTATTTTAAACAAACTTCTACTATATATTAAGGAAAAGCTCATCCTTTCTGGTTTGTCTTCCTCGTTAAAGCTAGCTGCATGCTGCTGCCCCCTGCAGCATGTCCAGTCACCACAAATTGCCATCTCTGTAGATTATGACTCAATGAGGGATATGTGTGTGTATGTAGAGAAGAAAAGGGAAGATCCCTTCAAAACAAACAACCAAACCCCCAAGAAGACACTAAAGCAAAGATGCCACAGACCGAAAGAGTTAGCCCACCTGGGAAGAGGGCCTTAAGGTTCTAGCAACAGACCCCAACCTCCCAGAGAAAGTTCTTTCCTGGCCTTTTTGTGCCACGGGTCTTTATCTTTTTTTTATAGCTAGTTTACCTGGAAAAAAGTTACATATGTATAGAAAAAAGGGTAAAGAGTAAAAGGGGTAATCAGTGAAAACATCTGGCTCTCACTCCAACCTCCTGTAACCATTCAGAAGTAACATGGTATATACTATTAGAAACACAACCGCTTCATACACATTCCCTTTTTTGTCGGTAACCCTCACCTGAGGATACTTTCCATTGTTAATCCTCACTCGAGAATCTTTTGCTATTAATTTTTGGAGAGTGGAAGGGAGGGGAGAGACACAGAGAGAAACATCGATGTGAGAGAGAGACACTGATTTGTTGCCTCCCCCTCGCCCCGGACAGGCCAGGGACCGAGCCTGACACCAGGGCACACGCGCCTTTGGTGGGTATGGAACCCGCGACCCTTCAGTCCGCAGACTGATGCTCTATCCATTGTGCCAAACTGGCTAGGGCCACATTTCTTAAAAAAAAAAAAAAAAAAAAAAACACCAAAAAACCATTTTTATTGATTTCAGAGAGGAAGGGAGAGGGAGGGAGAGAGAGAAATATCAATGAGAGAGAATCATTGATTAGCTGCCTCCTGCACTCCCCACACTAGGGATCAAGCCCACAACCCGGCTGGTGCCCTGACCCTCCTGGTTCAGAGGTCGACACTCAACTAAGGAGCCAGGCGGGCGGGAGAGGCCACATTCCTTTTTAAACATAAATCAAAGCGGTCACACCACCGTTTACCACTCAAGACTAGAACTTGGAGATTGTTCTCTACCAAGCCAGATAGAACCCATATTATGAATTTAAAACACATCTGTTCTAACAAAATAGGTTTAAAATAAATACATCTCCAATAGGTTCGGCCACAAGTTAGTTTTTTGTTGTTACGACTTAGGTTTTCATGATTACAAAAAGCGGTGGTTCTCAAACTTTGAGCGGACGACCACACTTGGAGAACCAACTGCTAGTGCGATCGCCGCATTAAACCCCGTTACTCCCATCCCCCAGCGCTGCTCGCCGCAGGCGGTACGCGCCATGAATACCCAGGGAACCTCAAGCAGGACGACGACGCCCAGTCCCAAAAGAAGCCCACGACGCTCCGACGCCCAGCCGGAACTGGAAGGACGAACCTGCACTCGGCGCCAGGCGCCGTCCAGCGACGCAATTTCCGTCCCATTAAACCCCGCCCACTCTGCGTCCCTAACGCAAGTAAGGGCTGGCGGCCTATTGGGCGTTGCGAGTCACGTGACTCGAACGGCGTCTCGCGATGGCTTTTAACTCTCGCGAAATTTCATCCGCCTCTGTCTTTCCTCCTCCCAGTGCCGGGCTTCCCTCCCCTCCCCCATACCGCCGACCGAGTTCTTTTCAGAGTCGCCGCCTTGGTGTCGCCGGGGAGATTTTTCTTGCGGCTACTGTTGCCGCAACCACCCCTGGGCTCGTTGGCCCCGACCCCTTCCCGCCGCCCCGACCCCAACCCCACACAAGGTAACAAACCCGGTGAGGGAAGGAGTGAGGCCTCGCCGGGCCGCGGCCTCTCCCGAGTGGAAGGGAGGCCCGAGGCCGAGGAGCCGGCGGCGCCGGAGAGGCCTGGCCGCCTCTCCCACCCAGCGTTGGGCCCTGAGCGGCGCCGGCGGGGTCGGGGCCTCCGGGCCGCGGCGGCGAACGTGGCTAAGCCGGGGAACCCGTCGGGTGGGGCTGGGACGCGGGAGGCTTCTGAAGGGCGACCGGGACCGTTTCCGGCGGAGCCTGTTGGGGGTGTGGGGTCCCGGCCCCGCGGGCGTCCGCTCGGCGTCCCTGGAAGCTGATGTTTGAATTACTTGGAGGTCTGAGATGATCGGCCGCGTTGTGGCGGGCTTTGGGGTGGCGGGTGGATGGGAGGCGAGCAGCCCGGCCTGCCCTCACCCCTTGGAGCCCTTCCAGATCCCAGCCTGTCGTTGACGGGAGCTGAGACCGAGGGCCCCGAAGCCCGGGCGTGCGCTCGTACACCGGGAGCGGATGCGCTCGCACCTTGCTTCCAGGAGGAGGAGGAGGACTTGCGGGAAGGCTCGTCCCGGAATGCCCAGACGGGAGTGTGTGTGCTGTTGCTTGGGCGGAAGGAAACAAGCCGGCATTATTGACGTGACTGGGCGGAAGACTTCAGCTCGGAGAAGAGCTTTTAGACACACTCATTAATAGAGTAGCTCATGTAAAGAGAGTTATTTGTGTAGTTAATCCAAAAGCCATTCACATTTGGCTTTGGAAGTATTCTTTAGTGCTTGTAGTAAATATATTTTTAGAAGTCTTCACTCCTCCAACAGATTAATGGCTTTTGAGGGGGGAGGCCGGTGACGATCTAATAACCCTTTTAAATGAACCGACCGCAGTGCTTTCCTTATTACAGGAATTTAAAGAAAATTAGAATTTCTCGAGTTTCCACATCAGCTTTTCTCTGAAACTACGAGTAGAGGTGATGGTGATAAACTAAGCTGCAATGAGTTGCAATGAGTTGGGAGCGGCATTGGCAAGGTTAATTCAGGCAGACAGGGAATTTTTTTTTAAATGTTTGTGGGCTTTTTTGTTGTTAATCCTCACCCTAGGATATTTTTCTTTTCTTTTTTCTTTTTTGGTTAATCTTTACCCGTGGATATTTTTCTATTGATTTTTTTTTTTTTTCAGCGATAGAGTGGAAGGAAAGGGGAGACAGAGAGAAACAACGATGTGAGAGAGACACATCCATTGGTTGCCTTCCCCAGGTGCTGGGGATCAGGGCCTGCAGCCTTGACTGCCATCGAACCCGGAACCCGTCAGTCTGTGGACGGAGGCGCTACCCACTGAGCAGAACTGGCTAGGGCAATGTTTGTGTGTTTTTGTTGTTCAGTTTTCATGGCCTTGCCCTTTTCCCCTCCAGATGTCAGAGGATCTAGCAAAACAGCTGGCAAGCTACAAAGCTCAGCTCCAGCAAGTTGAAGCTGCCCTGTCTGGAAATGGAGAAAATGAAGATTTGCTAAAATTAAAAAAAGATTTACAAGTAAGTATGAGGGGACACTTACTGCTACATTATTCAAAAAGAGTAGTTCGGTCTTTTTCAAATGATTTCTTGCTTAGAACTATAGGTGTCCAAGGCACCCCTTGGAGGTGGCGTTTACCCTTTCCCTTTGTGTATGTTCGCATAGGCATCCGTGGCTGTAAAAGTAGGGTTGTTTCCTCAGTTTGCATACATCAAAACGAGTGAAGCATTGTCCTTTGATATGTAAATCTTGTGTGTTCATTTAATAATAATAAGTTGATTTTAGAAGTCTCAGATTTACTAGAGAAGAGAGATATATAACTTTACAGTGGAAAGTACTTTTACATTTAAAGACCTGGCAAAGGAAGTTTAGTTCAAAAAGTAACTAAAATTAAAGGTGAAAGATAAAACCTGATTAAAATACTTTTTAATGCCACAAGTCCTTGAAAATGAGAGTGTGTGTGTGTATCAAAGCTAGCAGGTAACACTTTGTATTGAAAGCACATTATAAAAACATAAAAGATACTTGTTTTCTGCATAAATGTTACTTCATGTTTGAACTTAAAGGGTAGGTTTTTCAGTGTAGTTGTTGACACTTGTTGAAGTTAAATTGATCTATGTGAAAGGGATCCTAACTTGTTTTGTTTGTCATGGGAGAGTTCAGTATGTATGAAACCTGCTTTTAAAATCCTGTCCTGGGCAGGGGTTGTCTCAAGACAAATGAAGTCATAATAGTAAATATCTATTATTTCTCAGAACACTAGGTTGATTAATAAAAACTCCACATAAAAGATTTGTAAATATATATGACTTCCATCTTAACAAATTTGAGACTTAAAGTTTTGAACCTCATGTTTTGGAAAGTTTTAAAAGGTGTTTTGATTAGATGCTCTTTCTTTACTGATTCAGTACAAAACTTGAATCATCTTTGTCTTATCTAAGTAATTCTTTCCCTCTCTTTATCATCTTTTGCCTTTTAAAGTTATTAATATTTTAGGAATATTAGAACTGCAAACAAATGAAAATTATTTGACATGAAGTCCCGATTCAGGATTCTGAAAGAGCTTATGTGGGCATAATTAGGATGTTGACTATTTTCAGGTTTAAATTCTAGATTTAGGATAAACTCTAATGAAGTTGCTGCTATGGTATTTGTTTGTTTGTTTGTTTATTTTTAATCTTCACGTGAGGATATCTTTTTCCATTGATTTCTAGAGAAAGTGGAAGGAAGGGAGGAAAGCGAAGCATCATGTGAGAGAGATGAATTGATTGGTTGCCTCCTGCACAAGCTCCTACTGGAGCTGGGGAACCTGCAACCTGGGTATGTGCCCTTGACCGGGAACAGAACCTGTGACACTGCAGTCCCCAGGTTGACTCTGATCACTGAACAAAACTTGCCTGGTATGTTATTTTTTAAAAACACAGAAAACGGGACCCTTTTTCAATTTGTAGAAGTCAGGCCAATAGATTTTAGGGTGCTAGTCAATAAGGAAGGAATGTTTGGAGAGCAATCTTTCCCACTCCCAGACCAACTTCTTGCCTCAAGGGAAGATCCTGGCACGACCCATCTTTCACCAATTTAAAAGCAGTCCTTTTTTTTTTTTTTAAGAAATAAAAAAGAAGCATTGTGTGCAAGGTTGTATATATTGCCTCCTGGGCAGTGGGAGAAAGGGTCTGTGTGGAACTGATCAAGGGGAATTGGGGGTGAAGGTTGAAACAGCATGATTATGAGGTCTTTTTAATATTTCTAGAATAAATTGTCAGAGCTTGGACAGAATTGCGTTATACTGACATGATCTGTAGTGGAAGTTCTGATAGGCCTTGGAGTAAGAACACAAATGCCCTGGGGGGCTCATTTATCTATCTTGTAAAATCACTTCTATAACAGCACTGTACAATAGAACTTTCTGAAATGATGAAGATGTTCTGTATCTGCTGTGCAGTACTGGAGTCACTAGGCACATGTGGCTATTGCACGTTTAAAATATGGCTAAAAATCTGAATCTTTAATTTTAGGTAATGAAATAGCCTGTATCACTACCTTATTGGTTGGCACAGATTTAGAAGCTTAAGTTCTAACAGTTCAGGTAGCCATACAGAATGTTTTTCCTAATTAGACCGTATCACAGTTTCTTTTCCTCTTAGTCTATCATGAGGGAAAAAAATCATTTTGGTCACTAGATTTAGGTGTGTGTAAACTAAAAACTACTAAAAGGTGGAAGGCATCATTTAAGATTAGATAAAATTCTGGTAAGTGTTTGGATATCTGCTTCTACCTCTAATTGTTGTCTCTATTGACTAGTTACAGCTTCTATTTAGCATGGGTTTAAAATTCTTGTTTTTTTTTCTCTGCTTTCTGGGATATACCTCAGGTCATTGATACTTAACACGTTAAGCGCCCAGTCAGTCACCGGTGACTGACACTATACTTACCATCTGGAAGACAAAACAGGATGGGCGCTTAACGTATTTAATACTGCCTTTTATGTTTGCTGAAAAGTCTGGTCAAACTGAGTTTGTGGCCTTTGTTTTCTTGTGTTTCTCTTATGGATTGTCTTATTCTGGTTATGAATTTGCCCTTTCACTTACGACAAACACTCTTTCTGCATTTTATCAATGACTTCCATTTTGCCAGTAAGGCTTCCATTTTTATCTCTTTATATACTGTCTTTCCTATAGAATAAAGTTACTCAGCAGGCAGCAAATTGATCTACTGAAGTTCTAGTTGCCTTTCTTTTTTTCACTTAAAAAAGTGGGTATAGTAAAATCCAGGCTAGCTAGCTGACTAGCTCCCCAGGCAGTCTATGATAATCACAAAAATAGTCAATTTATTAAGCTGTTTTGCTGAATAAAACTGGTTCTAAAGGAGGCAGGGGTCAAGTCACTTGTCTCATATATTACAGTGGCTCTCTGCATCCCCGAAACGCCTTCCTTCAGTAAGCAGAGTGCTTGAGTGCATCCCCTTTGACCTGCTGATATGTAGATCACAACATCTGATGCTTCCTGGAATTGCCGATTACTGTAACTGCTGCCCATCTGTCAATGAAGGAGCAGTTTCAGAACTCAGACTTGGGGGAGGAAAAGTAATTAATGGTATGTACCTTTAAGAACCCCCTCATACATAAAATAGTTTCTCTCTAATAATTTGGTCAGTGTGCACATGTGAAGGAAAAAATTTAGAAGGGTCTTCATAGTTTGTTGGGTGAGGTATGTAAAATATGGCACAGTAAAAGGACAACTAGGGATAAATGCTGTGGATTTTTTAAAAAGTCATTTCAGTGCAGGGCTCTGAAAATTATAACTTTTTAGGACCCCTTTCTTTGGTGAAAATGTATTTTCTTATGAAAATAGGATAGGCATCTATCCTAAGAATAGTAGAGTTCTAAATCTTCAACCTACAAATGCAGAATTCATGTTTGTGCATTAGTAGGTAAATGATCATCCTTAGTTAGATGGAATTATTTAATGATAGGGGTTGTATGGGCTCTTGAGTCAGGCTTAGATTAGATTACATTCCTAGCCCTTAAAGTGGTTTATTAAAAACAGGACTGATAATTTACTCTCCTTTGTATAGTACATGATATATTTATTTGGAAGGTCTTTGCTTTATTTGCTTTATATGCAAAAGTTCATCTAATTAAACGTTATCTGGATGGCTACTTGGCACCTGATAAAACTTCATTAAAGATACTACTCTACTGAATTTAAATATGAGTTTTCTAGATTTTTTATTCACAAAATTTAATTCACAAAACTGATCTTCCTCTAAGAGCTTAACATTCCCCCCATTTTTAGGCTCAAATACTAGCTTTTCAGAAATAGCCAGAAGATATAGAATCTTAGGTGAGAGGTAATATTTAACTTTCTTGGCTACTGAACCAGAAGTACTATTTATAAAACCTCAATGGGAGCCAGAAGAAACTGAGTGCAGAGTTTAACTTGGTAATGTTTATCCCAAAAAACACATGACGTTTTAAGGTATTTTGTATGCAGTAGTAGGGGGACAGTTATGCAGGTTCTTAAGTCAGGTAAGATGATACATAATATGGGTTGTTTTTAGAGTAAAATTATAGCAGCTAGGTAACAGATCTATCAATTTGTACTATTCCTTGAGTTTTTTAACCAGCCCTCCCAAATACCTTCAAATGAAGCCAATAAGTATAAGCCTGAATTACAAAAAATATTTGCCACACAGAAAGATATTGCTTGCCTGTGTGTGTTAACATTTATTTTTTTTCCTTTTAAATGAAGATGTGCTAATATGTGTAACATTAAGGTATTGGGATATTTTCAATCTAACCTGGTAACTTGCTTACCTGGATGAGGTAAGCTTTATAATAAATGAATAGGAAGACTAATGGCTTTTTATATATACCTACAGTATTTTAGTAGAAATATGTATGAGCAGGAACATTTTTATTACTACAGATATAAGGCTGCTTCAAGTGTTTTGGGGTTTGGGGGTATGGGGCATGTTGGCTAGGCATTTAATAGTACTGTAATACCCTGTAAAACAGTAGTTATGAAATACATATATGACATGATATAAGTGATCTTGAATCTAGCTCAGGCCTTCATAATTGACTATTTCTCATCTTTGCAGAGATCTGGTCAGCTAAAATTGAAACTTAGAAATAATGCATATGGTATAAGCTCAAGTCTACCCATTTATTTCTACTAGTTTTTGAGATTAAGTTGAAAGGCAACTGTCTGGGTTTAAATCTCAGCTCCACACTGTATAAAATACTGTATCTTAGTTTATGCTTGGGGATAATCACAGTACATACACTATAATTTTGTTATGAACTACAAATAACTGTAGAGTATGTAAGTGCTATATGGTGAGAGCTGTTGTCATCAAAAAATGAAAGAACTTGCTTGTTGAAAATAGGTGACAATGTGAATTATAAAAATAATATTATGGTTTTTGGTTTTCCTTTCTAGGAAGTTATAGAACTAACCAAAGACCTTCTGTCAACTCAACCTTCAGAAACTCTTGCAAGTTCAGACTGTTTTGCTTCTGCTCAGCCCACTCATTCATGGAAAGTAGGGGACAAATGTATGGCAATCTGGAGTGAAGATGGACAGTAAGTGTAGAAAAAAACTAACTATAACATGAAATATTAATATACAATGGTAAGATGTTTTTATTCAGTTCAACTACCCTATTTTAATCTTTCTATATAGCCAATGTGGTTAATAGAGCCAATTTGATTCTTGGGTGGTTACCATTAATACAGTTTAGTTTTTAGTTTTGGATTAAATTTTGGGGCAGAAGAATGGCGAAGATCCCAGAGGAAAGAAAACTGAAAGCAGAGGAAAATGGATATTTTAAAAAATAATCTAAATTCTTTTTTCCTCAAATTGGAAATTGATTGAATGGTTGGCTGTCTTAGATGTCCATGAAGTACATACACTGAAATTATTCCTATAAGAAATATCTTTTTTCAAAGAGATTGACTAAAGCACTGTTGGTAGACATGTAAGAGACTTTCCTGGCAAATATTGATTAGGACTTCCTTTTAGGATACCAGATGGCTAACTCCAACCACTCTTGCAGTATCTTTGCCAAAGGGTCATTTGATTACAGAACTTTTATTTTAAACACATGTAATAGTTGAATCACTACAGTGTAAGTCTTGGAGGCTGAGTACTAAACCTTTACTCACCTGCTTACAGCCATGATATCTTTACAGGTGTTATGAAGCGGAGATTGAGGAGATAGATGAAGAAAACGGCACTGCTGCAATCACCTTTGCTGGCTATGGCAATGCTGAAGTGACTCCACTGTTGAACCTGAAGCCTGTAGAAGAAGGAAGGAAGGCAAAGGAGGACAGTGGCAGCAAACCCATGTCCAAGTAAGTGTGTTTTTAGCATTTTAAGTGTAATCTTTCCCATTTGGGTATTTGAGGTGGTCTGCAGAATCTGTGCAGGCTAGTTTAGGATAAGAAGGTTATAATACTGCTTACCATTATTTTGAAGATTAGCAATATAAGGTTATTCATTCTCTGTATTTGTATGCCAGGGTAAGGTGAGGACATTTGGGTTTCCACTTAGGCATTTAGTAAGTATTTTTTAAGTGGATACTATGTATACTATCACTAACCCAGATGCTGGGGTTCCACAACTTGGGCCTTGTCCTGACTGAGTTCATGAATGAAACATATGGGTACTTTAAGGGAACAAAGAACAGGTACCTAAACTGCACTTAGGCATTCGGGGAAATTACTTTGAGAAAATGACATCTAAACTTTAGAGATCTGAAAAGAAAAGGAGTTAGTCATACTAGAAGGTATGACTTTGAGCAAGTTGCCTATCTTCTGTTTCCTCGTCTGTAAAACAGGGAAATAGTATCTACATTTTTGGATTTGTCAAAGAGTTTTCAAAACTTTTTTGCTACATAAATATATTTGAATTTAAGAAAATTGTCATCTATTAAAATTACATTTGACTTAAGCAACCCAATAAGAAAATCAGATTATAGAGCATCTCTTTTAATTTTTGACGTCTGTATGAAAAGCCACACTTGGCTTCATAGTGGTGATTATACGATACAAAGGAATCTAGATCTTATTACCTCTTTTTAAAGACCTCTTCCTTCATCCTTTTTTTGGTGAGACCTCAGTGTTAACTAAGCAGAACTTACTATGAGAGCTTTAGGCTCTAATCTTATTTACTGTTTTTGGAAAACCCCAGTTGCTTTTGTGTTAAGAATTGTTAGCTCTGATTTCCCTTTGTGTTCCTGTGCTCTTCCAATCTAAATGAAATAGGGATTTATGTTCCTCTAATCTCTTCATACACTATTTCCAAATGCAGCATTTTACACTTGCTAACTGTCCACTTAGAAATTGATAGAAGGTTTAGACATCTGTTGACACTCATCTTATTCCTAAAACACAACTGGCAAAAGCTATGTAAACATCAGCTAAAAAGTCATAGTTGAAATATTTTATTTAAATGGGCAATAGATTACTGTTATGTTTGAAAGTTTCCAAGTATGCGCGATATATTTCAAATAACATTTATTAGTACACTGGGTCATTGGCATTGATGTTAGTGCTTTTATTCATGAGAAGAGAAGAGTATGTAAGTTTATTCATTTTCGTTCTTTTTTCTTTCTTTTTTTTTTGTATTATTAAATATCCTCAGGAAGTCGTGTTTTAAATCTTAAGAGTTGACATTTAGTTGTTATATCCACACAGAAAAGAAATGATTGCCCAGCAGCGTGAATATAAAAAGAAGAAAGCTTTGAAAAAAGCACAGAGAATAAAAGAACTTGAGCAGGAGAGAGAGGACCAGAAAGTGAAATGGCAACAATTCAACAACAGGGCCTATTCTAAAAACAAAAAAGGCCAGGTTAGTAAATCCTTTCATCATATTTTTTAAATTTGAAAAGCGCAGCTGTCATTAAAATGAAAAAGGAGGTACATAGGTTTTTAAAAATAAATGACTGGGTCTTAAATTCAGAATTCTCTTCAATCTTCAGTTTGGCTTATTGAAAGAATCTACATTAGCCACTGTCTCTACAATAGAAATACTATAAATGAGAATTTATATCAGGAATTACAAAAGATCTAGTTTTTTACCTTTCTGTAAACTAAAATTTGAAAAATTATTTGCTGTTTTACCACATACAAGAGGATGTGTTGTACCACATTTGCTTTGTTAACATGCCTTTATGCTGGACATCATTGGTAGATTTTATTTAAAAGAGCATTCAGGTTCTTCTCCTGAGTATATTTTGTAATTTTTATTGTTTCCAAAACTAATCAAGAACGATTTCTGTTTCATTTCCTTTAGGTAAAGAGGAGTATTTTTGCTTCACCTGAGAGTGTAACTGGCAAAGTTGGAGTAGGAACTTGTGGAATTGCTGATAAACCTATGACACAGTATCAAGATACCTCTAAGTACAATGTCAGGCATTTGATGCCTCAATAATCAGAAAAACTGTTGGATTTCATCTCTGCAGGGCTTTACATTTACCTTTTTATCCTTATATTTTTCTAAAGGTAAATTATTTGTTAGATGAGTAAGGAAGATACCATTGTTGTCATTGTTTGACTTCAATAGAATGAAACTTGAAGAAATTGCATTTGATAACCGCTATTCATTTAACTTGGTTCATTACTACTACCACAGTTTCCTCAAAGTTTGTTGGGTAACGCAACTTTTCTAGATAGATGCTGCTTAAATAAAGCACTTAGTTGAATTGTTGATCTTCCTGATACCAGGCCCCATACATTTTATAACGTCCTAACCTGGAACTTTAGTACCTTAAAGCTTGCCACGTATTCTGAAAGCAATTCACTGGAATATCAAGGCAAAACACCAAACTTTACAGAGATTTTTTTTTTCTTACCTTCAACTTAAACTTAGCTATTGGCCAATTAAACCTAAAAAATAAGTTAACTTGTAAAAGTCCAATTCTGTTTTCAGGTTTTTCCTTCAATAACTTGTTTCCTAAGCCTGTTAGACCATCTCTAAAATGTATCCAGCTCTTTTATTCTTTTCACTGAGTTTTAGTTTTATGTAAAAAACCATGTTTTAGCACCAGCTACCTTTTCTAATTTTTCCTCCCTCCTGTGTTGGTTTTTCACATAGGGTAGTGGTACCATTTTTTTGGATGTGAAATGTTTATATGAGAAAACAAAAAGCTGATGTATAGCCCTGTATACAGTGTAGATACTATTTTTGTAAAAAAAAAGAAAAAAAAAACGGCTAAATTAATGAACAAGAGTACTGAATGTTTCATCATTAAAAATGGACTGTATTTCTTGTGCATTAATCTGACCATAATCCCCTGTATATTATGTTCATGTAGCTGAGTTTGTAATTTTTGTTTACTAGATCAAGTTGTCAGCATTTGCTGGTATAAGTGAACATCACATTTATCCTGAGTTGAGTTTAAGCCAAATATATGCATAGAAAAGTGTCTTCCTGTTAATGGAAGTCAGTGATTTTCAGGATGTGTTAATTTCAGTTTTTGTATGTTTAACTTTTATTAAATAAAGTGTTTTTAAAATCTCCAGGGTGTGTTATGACAAAGGTAAAATCTTACTAGTAACTCCCAGCATTGATAATGATTAAGCCTCAATGTACTTGCATACATCATTTCTGCAAAAGAAAATGAGTATGTTAAAGGTTTCAATAAATCCTTACCTACTCCCATTAGACATAAAGAATTAGATTCTAAAGGGCAAACCAATTTTAAGGGCTTGTGCTCTGGAGTTTATAAATTTTTGCTACTGGGAAAATAAAATTTTTTATTTCATGTATTTTAATTCTTTCGGTAAATTGAAACTTTCAGGAGGATAGTGGTGAGGTAGAATTTTTCATCTTGCCTTTCCACCTCTCAACCCAAGAGATTACTTTTTCCTTTCATTTTTGGCCACTGAGTAGCGCACATATTATAGAAAAAAAGGTGAAACGTTTTTTACACACAAGGTACAAATTACAGTAGAAAAAGGGCCACATAGCTTGAAAAACTTATAAATAAAATATACTAATGCTCTCGTTATTAATTGTAACATACTAATCAACAGTATCCATGAAGGATTGCAGTTGTACCCTTTTAATGAAAAACCACAGGACAGACATTTGGTATAACTGAGTGGCCACACCAAATGGTTTTTGGTGAGATTACCTTGGTATGTTTATCACTCACCTGGTGTTTGTGTAGGCAAGACTTGTGTTGAGATTTGTGCTTTGTCTGATTGACCCTGTGGGCCTTCCTTTCTGTACATTAATTTTTCTGGAGGGCTTTGCAGTAGGAGGAGAAAAGAGTAAAGGTGACCATATTCTATAAAATATATTTTTTAAAATAGGCATATGTAGCATGAGATCAGGAACCCTTGTGTCAAAAGACCTAGATGTGGCTCTGAAAAGTCCGAGGTACCAGGATGATGATAGTGTCTTTGGATTAAACGAAAAGTTAAGACGCCTGGAGCGAGTGTCTTGTGTCATGTTAAAGCCGAGAAAATGCTTAATGGGTAGCATCTCATAATAATACCAATACCTTTTTACAAATGATGGTGGTTAAGCTCTCAATATTCTGAAACCAAATATAACACTTGGTCTTATGAAACTCAATGTAATTTCCCATCAAGAAAGGCTTGACAAGCTCAGTAACTGACCGATCGTGCTGTCAGTCATTTAGGGCTCCCAAATAGCTATGGTTGCATACATCTTTTCAGAACTTGACATTTGACTTTGTTGTTATTGAACAGTTGAAGAATTCTTCAAGACCAGTCCTAACGTTCCCAAAATATGTAAACTTTAAAATTGTAGTATTAATCACAGATAACATGCTTTTTAAATTAACATGCAGAAAGACTATATTAGAAGAGCAAGGACTTGAATCAGACTGCAGTTTGAATCCTGGCTTCCTTATTTATTACCTGTGTGTATAACTCCTCTTTGATTCTACAGTTTTCAGCTGTAGAATAATTTGTTTCAATAAATTGTAAGGATGAATGAGTTTGTGTAAAGTGCTTAGTGGAGTATCTGGCATGTGGTAAGCACTATAGAAGTGTTAGCTATTACTGTGCAGAGTGGTAATGGTGAATATCTGATCTTCCTTTTTTTCTTAAATTGTTTATTGTTTAAAGTGTTACATATATCTCCTTTTCCCCCCATTGACCTCTCCCTGACCACCTTCACCCCCCTGATCTTTTTTCCTTAATTTGAACAATAATTCATATCAAAATGTATAGTAATGCCCATTGCTTACAATTTGGCCCCTAATTATAAACATGCTACTGAAATGTTATCAAACTTTATAAGAAGTACACCCTAGTAAAGGTTAAAATTTTTATATTATAATGTCTTAGGCATGTTTCTTGATGGGAAGGGGATACAGATTATAATAAAATCATCCCTAATGCTTGTTTAAAATTAAAGAGGAATTCCTGGATCCTACCTCAGAATCATCTAAGCCAAGATATAGCTGTCACTCCACAGGTGATTCTGATGCACATCTCTGGCTGAGAACCATGTTTTTGGGTAAATACAAGGGTGCACAAAAGTAGGTTTACTATGCCATTGTGACATTCTTTTGAGTTAAAGCTATTGTAACAATCATAACTTGCATGTCTTTTACCATACGAATTTGTCCACCCTGTATAAAAGCAGTTTTTGAAATGAAGGAAAAATTACCTTAATAAGTGGCAGTTTTCTTAGCCCAATTATGAAGACTAGGCATCAAACTAAAATGAAAGGCATCCATCTATTGTAATAACTCATTTTTTAAAAAAAGCTTGTTTTTCACAAAAGGGTGCCATGTGTATGTTTCCACTACAGTGCAGTTCTAATGCTGAGTGAGCCTGCCTTTAATGTAGCAAAGGAAAACCAAATAACAAAGGAAAAACCATAGTTTTGTAAATTGTGTGTCTGTAGATTATAATTCTTAAAAGAGACAAAACCACTTGCAAATTCAGGCAAAAAATATTTTTAAAGCTTTGATTTGACTTTGCCTTAACTTTGATATTAACTGAAATACAAAATTATTAAAACCAACAAGGTTTATATTTTATTAAAATCTTTAGAGTTCTATAAATACCTGTTGAATTGTATTAAGTATTTGTATTATACTATGAAGCAACCAATTACTATAAATGGTAATTTACAAGTAAATATGAACATTCTTTGTATCTAGGATTTTTGAGTTGCAAGCTAAACACTGAATTTTTACTGCAGTGGAAAGGAAGAGCATAGCAGGCAAAATAACAGGTAATACCGTAGTTTAAACAAACAAAAACTCAAGTAATTGAATCCCCTTACATTGTATTTAACAAGCATATCTGTATAGATATGCTCTTAAGAGGTTCAGAAACCAATATTGACATTCTAAGAATTTGTTTTGGCCTGGCTAAAAATAAATAGCAAAAGAAAACATAAGATGGAAGATATTAGATTTCTGTGAAGTTCTTTGATTGTCTCCTCTTGCCTTTCAGCTTATGTACATAGAGGTGGTTCTATTATGACCTTGAGGTAAAGCAGATCTGAGACTAACATGGCTTGTGGTAGTTGACAGCTGAACTAGCTAAAAATGTCAAATTATGGATACTGAAATTATCTTTCCATTCCCAGAAATAAAAACTGGTAGTTTACTTCCACCAAGCACCTCACCAGTTCATTTTTATGAAACCAGTGCAGACTTAGGTTACTGGAATTAAAATTATAATTTGTATCCTCAGTCTTTTTTAAGAGCACAGCTAAAGAAGCCATGGTTATACTCATTATGAGAAAAGGTTTGCTTTCTGTTTGAAGAGCTACCTTTTCAACTTGAGGCCAAAAGTCATGGTTGTGATTTTGCTGGCTCATGATTTCCCTTTCTTGGTGAAACTGATGTGCTTTTGTTTTGTTTTTCCCCCTTTCAAGCCCTGTACTCACTTTAGCAAGATGCAGTGAATTTCTGACCAGAGAAACAATTCAGGCTTGGAGGAAACGCTTGACTTTTAAGTCCTTGGAAAACTAAGATTTTGAATCCTGAGGTCTGCAGCTAGGCTAGTCTTTAATAGATGGTAATTGTCCAGGTGTTCATTGCTCAGAAGTATGCAGGAAGGAGTAAGTATCCCTCTGGTTCCTTTGCCCAGTTTTTCCCTCCAAAAGTATTGTTAGACTTAGTTGATTCTAGCTTTCAGAGTGTTGATGAAGCTAATTGAGAAGAAACTGACTCCTTAAATTTGTATTTTTTATGGCTTTTATGTTTTTTTATGTTTTTACAATGCTATTCTGTGCTTGGTTTGAAAATCTAAGCTAAATGCCCCAAGTATTGCCCTATTAAGCATTCCTCCATAGCAAAGAGCTTGAGGAAATGGGGAAAAATTCCAAAATTTTAGAAAGTTAGCTGGCAGTACTTGAAAAGAGCTTCATTTAAGCCATGTCTCCTAATTTATGATTCTATAGAAGTTAAAACAACCAAGAAATGGCCAGCCGGTACATATATTTTGAACTATACTGATTAATTAAAAGGATCAGATGTATTCCACAAGAAAACTAGTTTTCTGTTAGATCTGGTAAATGGGCCAGGAAGAATTTTTCCCCCCCTTGGCAAAGCCAACACTAAATGTTAAACTATGACGTTCAATTATGCAGTAGCGACTATCGGTGTATAGTATTCTCAAGCTCAGGGTAGTCATGCCCGCCCCCCTTTTCTTAGATCCAGATAATTACTAAAACCGATGATCCATCAATCTTGTAAAGGCTTTATTTTTAAAAATTATTAGGACATAAAAATTGATGTCTTACAAAGTATAACCTGCTATGTAATTTTGTGAAAATGAACTATTTCATTTAATAGAAAGACCTAGTCAGAATAACTAATATTCAAGATTAAGGATGAAGAGATTAGAAGATTGCATTCATCAGAGAAAGTAGAGAAGTTACATACCTTAGTTTCCTTTTGGTGCTACAAACTCCTAGCTTGAGGGGGTGGTATAATTTACATATGTCAGTATTAATCCTTACAACCTTTTGTTTGAGACGGGTATTTATCACAACTTTTTAGAGGAGGAAATAGTCCCTATGAAGAAATTAAGCATCTTACCACATGATGCTGTTTTTGATAGGAGTATGGAATTTTTTAGGTGGAAGTTAAAAAAAAGAAAGGGAAAAAGGCAGCTTGTTGCTTTAAGCAGAAGAGAAACTCACCAAAAACTTTTCCCAAGGACTAAACAATTTTCTTATGAGAAATGACCCAGGAAGCAGTGTGGCCTTAGGTTAGGAGTTTTGCCTCAATAATCCTCACTTTTAAAATTCCTTTATAATACTAAAAACTGTCCTCACCAGAGGAGTTATACCTATTCTAATCAGAAACTAGAGAAACAATGACATCATCACAATCTTCTTTGGTAATATGCACCGAAATAAAAAAATTTACCTGCACCATCACTCAGGCTTTTCCATACAGGGTACCTTCTCAGGTGAGCTTCCAGACTTGGTTTCAATGTGAATTGTATGTGTAGCCAAAGGGATTCCTTAAAAAGTTATTTGGAGAACAGCTGTGCATGACATGGCTTTGTGTCCTACCTGAAGCAGTTAAATATCACATAAAATAAACTATCTGCAATTAGGTCATGTGGAATTAGTCAAGAAGGCACCTGTTAAATTATAGGAAATGGCAATGATTCAAATTGCCATTAATTCTGGACTACTGAAGTAGTATCAACAAACATTTAGGTGACAGTTGCCTCAAGGTGTAGATGCTCATTTATATATTTTTCCTTCATAGAGAAGGGTGGTACAAAAAGCACTCGGTATTATTCATTCACAATTTTTATTTCTTGCAATTAACTTTTGTATCTTCAAAGTCGATTTGTCTTTTAAAAAAGTAATACTTCTTACTCATCATACAACCCACCCCCCTCCCCCAGTAAAACAAACCCAGGGAAGGAGTAATTTAGGGGGCAGTTGAAATAGGTACTCTAGGTTCGTGACAAAGTCTTCTCAGCCCACCATTCAATACACATACAACAAAATGGCAGCACCTCAAGTTCACCTGAATGAATCGTCCCAAATTCCAGCCCTAGGCAAGTGATGCAAGTGAATGCCATGGGAGTAAAAATGGCAGCTAATCATTGGCTTCCATTTACTTTCCATGGTAGTTAGCAGAGTCTTCAAACTTACTCGGGAAAGTCAAAAGTAAGCAACATAAGAGCAACATTTTGACCCAGCCAAGAGGAATTTAAAATGAAATCAGAAATAATTTACCTGGGCCACAGAAATGAAATTATATTTTTCCTTGAGTCCCCAGCACCTGAAGTAGCAAGTTCTAATGACTTCTAAAGACATGCAGTTTTTCACACATGTACTTGAAAGAATTTCTTCCACTCAAACAGCACAATCAAGGATAAAATATTTTTGAGGCACAGGAAGAGCACAAGAACAAGTAAGTATATGCTGAGGCCTTGTGTATGACCAAGATGGTACACTTCATACATAGAAGCAGTGAAAGCTGTTAAAGTGCTACTTACAAAGGATAGTCTAATTATTACACACACAACTCAACTGCACTGCTAAATATGGTTGTCTTTATTTTCTTTTTCCTTGCCCAGCCCTATCTAAACAAAATAAAACTACAGGACTGAAATTAACAACCCATTAAAATCAGCAATAAGTTATGAAAATCATAAAGCTTTTTTAAAAGTAATTATGGGTAGTTAAATTATTTAAAGTATACAAAGTTCAAAGAGCCTTTAAAGTCAAAGGGGTAAGGAGGTCTCCAAGAAGGTTTCCTGGGGTAAGGGAGAGGCGAGGCCAGGGAGAAAACTTGGGAATTTGAAGGACAAAGGGAACACACGACATCAAAGTGCAGGCTAGGAATTTCACTTAAAATAACATTTCTGAAAATATTGATAAGAGCAACAATAGCACCTGCACAGTGGGACTGTGAGGAAGGAGAGAGTCTGCCTGTAGGAAAACGGAAGCAAATCTTTACATTAAAATGAGACAAGTCCAGAACTCAACTATGTTAA